TTGAATCTAACGCCTTCCTTTTTTTCCTTTTTCTTCTCATCAAGTCCCGATTTATGTGCGACCTCCTTTTACTCTGGCTGAAGTGAGTAATCTTTTGCTCGTTTGGGCACAATTCTTAATTGGGAAAGAGTTGTTTCACGACATTGTAATTGAGACAAATGCCAATGCAGGGGTTAAACTATACGCTCCCCAATTTTTTGTTAGCCAGCTTGGCTATGGCCAGACGTGGCTTGTTCCTCACTGCTATTCTAGTAATTTAGTAGAACGTTTCCATACTACAAACAAAACCAAGGCACAAGCCATTGATGCCTATAATACTCTTTTGACCAAAGGTTTTTCTTTAGCTCCTTTTAATCCCACTGTTGTCACTCATCCTCTTTTTGATCAGTTCTGGCCATCAGTGAAACGTAGATTACTTACAACTGATGCTAATCGTGCATTCCATTTACTGAATCGACCAGATACTTCCTCTACTTCTCTCATTCTGGCCATCCCTGTGTCCATTAGGAATCCTTCTTCACCTGCTCGCACTAAACATTCAGCCCTTTCATCTACTTCTCCTCCTTCTCGAGCTAGAGCAACCGAACCTCCAGCCGTAAACAGCTAGCCCCATCTTCACCAGTTTTGTCAGATGATGACGATGATGATGATGATGATGATGCTCCTCTCATCGCCAAGAGAAAGGTGCTTGAGCTTGTTTATTTATGCACCAAATTATTCTTCATAGGCTAACGCTTTACCTGAATTTTCCGAGGAGTTCACCTTCCCCTTGGAAGGCCCTATTCTTAATAGCCCCTGCTTCATCACCTCCAATTGAAGCTGCTCCATCCAAGTAATCTAATTCGAGACTCTGCTTAAAGAGAAATCCATAGCCCTAGAGTCTTTGCCACAATTAGTTGGAGAGCTGCCGTCTTTCTAGGGCTTTAACCCCCCAAGTGTTGAACCAGAAGGTAATACATACCTTAACGTCTTGACCCTTGCTTGTAATATTGGCCTTTGATTCATTGTTTCTTGGACTCTGCAGAAGTTCCACATGGATCTGCCCGTTGTGGCAAAGTCTGTTCATTCAGATAAGGGAAAGTCTCCATAAGTGGCTGAGTCAGTCAATGACGTGCCTGAACTTTCCAAAGTTACTGATGATGTAGAATTTGTTTCATTCTTCTCCTCTCTTCATTTACTACAATGAAAATTCTAAATGCTTGCATTTTTCTTCACATGATGAGGATGTCATTGTGCGTTCTATCCGGGATTTGTTCACTTCTTAGGGACAATTAGATACATCTTGCCATTTTTCAACCAGTAGTCCTTCTGCTTTAGCTTCTACTTTCTCGGAGGATAATATGAAGATTCTCAAGCAATTACTGTTTGAATATGTTTCTTTCATGGACATGAATATTGGCAAAGCTAGTGCTGCCAAACAAAAAGATAAGTTTGAGCTTTTAAGCGTGAAACTAGCGCAAGCACTTAAACTTCCGTCACTCAATGTTTCTTCTGACTTTAAGGCGACATTGAAGGTTATCCATTCTGAAATCATTCCTTTGTTAGCCAAAAATGTCGAATTGAAGGCCGTAGTACTTAATATCTTCATGCTGTATCTAAAAAGGAGTTCTTGCTTCAAGAGATTGATAAAACCAATGCTGAATTAAACGAAATCTCCTCTGAAGTTATGGCTGAAGATTCCCTGATGATAAGCTTGGCTGTAGAGATGAAGGAAATTCAAGCGAAGATGGACGACTGCAGGGCTAGGATGACTGTTAAAAAGCGTAATGCTTCCCAGGAAGTTGAGCGAACCAAATCTTTGGTTGAGCGTTATGCCAAGCTGGAGGTTGATAAGGATGTTGCAACTGAATTGTCTGTTGCTTCTTGTAAACAGAGCTAGAATTGGTGAAAGCTCAGTGAAAAAATGCATTCAATTTGGGGCGAATTGTAATTAAGATATTGATGCCTTTATTTTCTTTATAATTTTATATTGGCAACTACTTGAATGTAACAGTAGCCAATTTCATTAATGAACGACTATTTTATTTATAAGTGTATTAGTTTCTTCAATCGTCAACTCCCCAAGCATTTAATTACTTTATGCTAAACTCGTGTACATTCCCCTTCATGTAATTTTTACACAGAGCAAAACTTTTGGCATTTCAATCTTCTTTTCCAAAATTTTGGGCCATTCATATTCCGCATTTTCACATTCACATCTCTATAAATGCACATAAGTTATGCATTTGTTATCTTCATCTTCCTCATCCACAAAAATCAACTTATTTACATCATCTTTTGGCTTTTCAGATAATTAATCAAGTATCTCCAGAAATGGATCATTTGATTTATTGTCAATTCTGCTATCTGCTTTGATATCACCTTTGGTATGGGAGATATATGAAATGTTTTTTGGCCAATAAAGGTCTTTTCAGCGTCTCCATTTATGTTCTCCAGAGGAAGTTCAATGATGGAAGGGGACTTGCGAATTCTTTTCATGCCACTTTGCTTGCTGAGAGTGTTTCTCAGCCTTTTGCCTGTCATTGCAGCATTGCAATTAGGAAAGCAGTCAAGGTCGGTTTTCCTTTTTCTTTGTGATTGATAGAAGAATGATAACAAACTGCTCCTAATTGCAGCTTATAGAGCATCTTGTAT